TCAGACAGAACCAGTACTATCAGACAGAACCAGTACTATCAGACAGAACCAGTACTATCAGACAGACCCAGTACTATCAGACAGAACCAGTACTATCAGACAGAACCAGTACTATCAGACAGAACCAGTACTATCAGACAGACCCAGTACTATCAGACAGAACCAGTACTATCAGACAGAACCAGTACTATCAGACAGAACCAGTACTATCAGATAGACCAGTACTATCAGACAGACAGACAGACAGAACCAGTACTATCAGACAGAACCAGTACTATCGGACGGACAGACAGGAGTGTATCACCTTGCACTCGTGTATCTGTGTTATTGTGTACTCTGTAGGAGGAGCCTGTGACCTCAGAAGTTCATTGATACATCTACTCTGCAGCTGCTGAATCTGATCCGCTGCTCATCACTAAACATATATCTCTGCTGACGCTGTGTGTGTTTTTATTCTCAGGGCATGAAGACTGTTTGGAGGTTTTACTTGAATTTAAAACATTAATCCATGAAGAGGGAAACTCTTTCACCCCCCTGCACTGTGCTCTGTGAGTATGCATCCATTACTCTCAAAGTATATTAAGCAGTAGACGCTGTAGACGTAGCAGTAGACGCTGTAGACGTAGACGTAGACGCTGTAGACGTAGCTGTAGACGTAGCAGTAGACGTAGTAGTAGACGCTGTAGACGTAGCAGTAGACGCTGTAGACGTAGCAGTAGACGCTGTAGACGTAGCAGTAGACGCTGTAGACATAGTAGTAGACGCTGTAGACGTAGCAGTAGACGCTGTAGACGCTGTAGACGTAGCAGTAGACGCTTTTGTAGAACATAGTAGTAGACGCTTGTAGACGTGGCAGACAAGTAGACGCTGTAGACGTAGCAGTAGACGCTGTAGACGTAGCAGTAGACGCTGTAGACGCTGTAGACGTAGCAGTAGACGCTGTAGACGTAGCAGTAGACGCTGTAGACGTAGACGCTGTAGACGTAGCAGTAGACGCTGTAGACGTAGTAGTAGACGCTGTAGACGTAGCAGTAGACGCTGTAGACGTAGTAGTAGACGCTGTAGACGTAGCAGTAGACGCTGTAGACGTAGTAGTAGACACTGTAGACGTAGCAGTAGACGCTGTAGACGCTGTAGACGTAGCAGTAGACGCTGTAGACGCTGTAGACGTAGCAGTAGACGCTGTAGACGTAGCAGTAGACGCTGTAGACGTAGCAGTAGACGCTGTAGACGTAGCAGTAGACGCTGTAGACGTAGCAGTAGACGCTGTAGATGTAGACGCTGTAGACGTAGCAGTAGACGCTGTAGACATAGTAGTAGACGCTGTAGACGTAGCAGTAGACGCTGTAGACGTAGCAGTAGACGCTGTAGACGCTGTAGACGCTGTAGACGTAGACGCTGCCTGTGTCATTTTAACACCGAGAGAACATGGAAGTTATTTGATAATCAATGTTTTGTAATGATGTTAATTACAGTTCTCAGGCAAGTTTATTTTTACAGCACAAGGCAGCCACAAGTGCTTTGCAACGAAATAAAAAAACATTAAAGGCTTTAAGAGATAATGCAAGAGCAACATGTAAAAATACATTCAAACATAGGAGTAAAAGCTCTCATTAGAAAGTAACTAGAATAACTTCTATAGAATATCACAGGTATAAAGTAGAAGAATAGAAGTTACAGTGCCGTGTGAGATATGAACAGATGTTTGATCTAATCGAGAGCAGTGGCAACAAATAAAGTCTTCAGGCTGGATTTGAAAGAAGATGGGATTACATATGGAGTATAAAAAGAGAGAAAGACAATCGAAGGTCGCACCTATTAAATATGAACATGTAGCCTCTCTACAGTTCAGATGAACATACCTGTTATAACCCCGGTGTGTTTCCTTCAGGATGAACGGACACAGCGGCGCTGCAGAGCGGCTGCTGGAGACAGCGGGGGTTCACATGATTAACACCAGAGATGCCAAAGGAAGGTGAGGCAAACACACACATTGATTAAGAGGCAGAGGCTGCTACACAAGGTGCCTCACATCCACATGCCGTTGGGGTTCAGTGTCCCCAGGATGCATCCTCCACAGTGCTGTCTGTCTGAGCACCCTCTCTCCCCCCCCCCTCCAGGACCCCCCTGCATGCGGCTGCGTTTGCTGAGGACGTGGCAGGCCTCCAGCTGGTGCTCCGTCACGGCTCAGAGATCAACGCTGTGGACGCCAGCGGCTGCTCCGCCCTGATGGTGGCGGCCGACAAGGGGCACAGCGGCACCGTGGGTGAGTCTCTGAGAGGCTGGAGGGGCCTTTAAAGGTCTCCTATTAAGCAAAATCCACTTGTTCATGTCTTTGATACATAAACATGTGTCCCCCATTAGCCAATCACCAACCAAGGTAACCCCCCCACCTTATCACCTGAATCTCCTCCTAGCACCATTGAATTATTTTTAACCAAATCTCTCTCAGAAACAGTATAATAGGGGACCTTTTAATACAGACTGGAGCTGTTTGTAACACTGGGGGGCTGCTGTATGTGTGTGTGTGTGTGTGTGTATGTGTATATATATATATATATATATACACAGTGTAAAGGGCCGTCCCTACTTAATGATGTTTGTAGTCGCAGGAAATAAATGTCTTTGTGTCCTCAGCGATCCTCCTCCATCGGGCCAAGGCTGACCTGACGCTGCTAGACGAGAACAAGAACACTGCCCTGCACCTGGCCTGCAGCAAGGTACACACACACACACACACACACTCACACTGCCCTGCAGCAAGGTACACACACACACACTCACACTGCCCTGCAGCAAGGTACACACACACACACACACACACACACACACACACACACACACACACACACACACACACACACTCACACACTCCACCTGCACAGTGTAATACTCTCAGATAGGCAGCAGCTCATGCCTCTCTTCTCTCCCTGTGTTCTTCCTCAGGCTCATGAGATGTGCGCCCTGCTGATCCTCGGGGAGATCCACAGCCCGACGCTCATCAACGCCACCAACAGCACTCTGCAGATGTGAGGGCGCTTTTAAGACATCAATAAACAAATGGACGTTTTGGGGGGTTTTCTATAAAAGCATTTTCAGTTGTTTAAAAACTCTGCAGGCTACAGGTTCATGTTTAGTTAGATATGATTCCTCTGTTGTATTCCCAGTTGAGGGTATTCTTCACATGTTGTTAATGTGTATCTCTCTCTCTCAGGCCTCTGCACCTGGCGGCTCGTAACGGATTGGCCACGGTGGTGCAGGCGCTGCTGAGCAGAGGAGCCACGGTGCTCGCTGTGGATGAAGAAGGTTTGTGTTTTTATATCTGCATCGTTTCTGAAGCTGCAGCGTGTTTCTCTTATGGCGCGTTTCCACTGCAGGCCTCGCTCGGTTTGGTTAGGCCTTATTAGGCCCGGATCACTTTATGCTGCGTTTCCATTACAGTTTAGGAACTGGGGCAGTTACTATAGTAACGCAGTGTAGGCGGAGCCGTGACGTCATCTTCAATGAGAGCCCCAGAAAAACAACACAGCCGTTAGCTCTTAGCCCTCAGAGCTCACAGCTCTTCATATCTGTTCAGAAACTAGACAAAACGTTGTTGTGAGTGTGGACGGTCGGAGCATATATAACGTTAGCTTAGCCAATCTCCATTTAGAAAACACGCATTTTAAAAGGTGTTTCGCCTGCCGTCTGTCTGCAGACTTGTCAAAGCATTAATTCATGGTTTTTACTAACCGGTATCAGTGTGTTGTTACTTCGGCATCATTTTGAAACGTGTATTACAATTAAATCACGGTCAAATATGTTCATCTTGTTGTAGTTGTAGCCCCCTTGCCAGCGATTCTCTCTCTAGTTTAGCATACTCAGCCTGGTTGTTCCTGGCCCTAGAACCACGATTTAGTCAGGCCAGAAAAAAGGTGAAAAAGTAGCCCCAAAACTAGGCCAAGTGGAAACGCAACCAAAAACGGGCCCCGCACGGCTCGGCACGCTTAAAGCGAGCTACCCGCTGCAGTGGAAACGCGCCATTAGTGTTTTGGGCTGTAGTAACGAGATGGCAAAAGTACACATCCTTTACTCCAGTAGAAGTACAGATACTTGTGTTTTAAAAGTAGAAGTACTGACTAAACTCCTTTACTCAAGTAGAAGTAAAGAGGCTTTGAAATGTACTTCAGTAAAAAGTACCCATAACTAGCAGCTGCTTTAAAGAGTACCTGACCTCCCTTTATATTAATAGAACAATAATGTCATTGTTAGCTAATGAATGTTTCCATGCTGAACAACGGCAACATGACAACGTTTCCATTGGTCCCTCTTCTTTAGAGAAGACCAGGAAATGATGGATACACGGATCGTGTTCAAATCAATAGGCACGCAATGACTCTAAAGAATAATGATCACGCACCAAACACACATTCAGACTAAAGGAACCAGCTGTTTGGAGAATGAGAGAAGTAGAAAGTACAGGTATTTGAGTTCAACATGTAAGAAGTAGAAAGTACAGGTATTTGAGTTCAACATGTAAGAAGTAGAAAGTACAGGTATTTGTGTTCAACATGTAAGAAGTAGAAAGTACAGGTATTTGGGTTCAACATGTAAGAAGTACAAAGTACAGGTATTTGGGTTCAACATGTAAGAAGTAGAAAGTACAGGTATTTGAGTTCAACATGTAAGAAGTAGAAAGTACAGGTATTTGTGTTCAACATGTAAGAAGTAGAAAGTACAGGTATTTGGGTTCAACATGTAAGAAGTAGAAAGTACAGGTATTTGAGTTCAACATGTAAGAAGTAGAAAGTACAGGTATTTGTGTTCAACATGTAAGAAGTAGAAAGTACAGGTATTTGGGTTCAACATGTAAGAAGTAGAAAGTACAGGTATTTGGGTTCAACATGTAAGAAGTAGAAAGTACAGGTATTTGTGTTCAACATGTAAGAAGTAGAAAGTACAGGTATTTGGGTTCAACATGTAAGAAGTAGAAAGTACAGGTATTTGGGTTCAACATGTAAGAAGTAGAAAGTACAGGTATTTGAGTTCAACATGTAAGAAGTAGAAAGTACAGGTATTTGGGTTCAACATGTAAGAAGTAGAAAGTACAGGTATTTGGGTTCAACATGTAAGAAGTAGAAAGTACAGGTATTTGAGTTCAACATGTAAGAAGTAGAAAGTACAGGTATTTGAGTTCAACATGAGAGAAGTAGAAAGTACAGGTATTTGAGTTCAACATGAGAGAAGTAGAAAGTACAGGTATTTGAGTTCAACATGTAATAAGTAGAAAGTACAGGTATTTGAGTTCAACATGAGAGAAGTAGAAAGTACAGGTATTTGTGTTCAACATGTGAGAAGTAGAAAGTACAGGTATTTGAGTTCAACATGTAAGAAGTAGAAAGTACAGGTATTTGGGTTCAACATGTAAGAAGTAGAAAGTACAGGTATTTGAGTTCAACATGTAAGAAGTAGAAAGTACAGGTATTTGGGTTCAACATGTAAGAAGTAGAAAGTACAGGTATTTGTGTTCAACATGTAATAAGTAGAAAGTACAGGTATTTGAGTTCAACATGAGAGAAGTAGAAAGTACAGGTATTTGAGTTCAACATGTAAGAAGTAGAAAGTACAGGTATTTGGATTTAACATGTAAGAAGTAGAAAGTACAGGTATTTGTGTTCAACATGTAAGAAGTAGAAAGTACAGGTATTTGAGTTCAACATGTAAGAAGTAGAAAGTACAGGTATTTGTGTTCAACATGTGAGAAGTAGAAAGTACAGGTATTTGAGTTCAACATGTAAGAAGTAGAAAGTACAGGTATTTGTGTTCAACATGTGAGAAGTAGAAAGTACAGGTATTTGAGTTCAACATGTAAGAAGTAGAAAGTATAAGTATTTGGGTTCAACATGTTAGAAGTAGAAAGTACAGGTATTTGAGTTCAACATGTAAGAAGTAGAAAGTACAGGTATTTGTGTTCAACATGTAAGAAGTAGAAAGTACAGGTATTTGTGTTCAACATGTGAGAAGTAGAAAGTACAGGTATTTGAGTTCAACATGTAAGAAGTAGAAAGTACAGGTATTTGTGTTCAACATGTAAGAAGTAGAAAGTACAGGTATTTGAGTTCAACATGAGAGAAGTAGAAAGTACAGGTATTTGGGTTCAACATGTAAGAAGTAGAAAGTACAGGTATTTGTGTTCAACATGTAATAAGTAGAAAGTACAGGTATTTGAGTTCAACATGAGAGAAGTAGAAAGTACAGGTATTTGAGTTCAAAATGTAAGAAGTAGAAAGTACAGGTATTTGTGTTCAACATGTAAGAAGTAGAAAGTACAGGTATTTGAGTTCAACATGTAAGAAGTAGAAAGTACAGGTATTTGTGTTCAACATGTGAGAAGTAGAAAGTACAGGTATTTGAGTTCAACATGTAAGAAGTAGAAAGTACAGGTGTTTGTGTTCAAAATGTAAGAAGTAGAAAGTACAGGTATTTGAGTTCAACATGTAAGAAGTAGAAAGTACAGGTATTTGTGTTCAACATGTAAGAAGTAGAAAGTACAGGTATTTGTGTTCAACATGTGAGAAGTAGAAAGTACAGGTATTTGGGTTCAACATGTAAGAAGTAGAAAGTACAGGTATTTGAGTTCAACATGTAAGAAGTAGAAAGTACAGGTATTTGGGTTCAACATGTAAGAAGTAGAAAGTACAGGTATTTGAGTTCAATATGTAAGAAGTAGAAAGTACAGGTATTTGTGTTCAACATGTAAGAAGTCAAAGTAAAAAGTGGTCAGAAAAATAAGTAGTAAAGTACTGATACCAGAAACATGTACTTAAGTACAGTAACAAAGTATGTGTCCTCCACTACTTCCCCCTCTGCCTGCCGGACACCATAGAGTCTCTTCAGATGAAGCTGAATGTCATGTGACCTCTGCTGTGTTCCCTCCCTCAGGCCACACCCCCGCTCTGGCCTGCGCTCCCAACAAGGACGTGGCGGACTGCCTGGCTCTGATCCTCTCCACCATGAAGCCTTTCCCCCCGCGGGACCCCTCCTCCTGCTCCTGCGGCCCCCCCAGCGTGACCCCCTCCCCGGGGCTGAACCTGCTGAAGCACTGCGGCATCACGGCCTCCTGCGCCCCGCTGCCCTCCAACGGCCTCCACAACGGCTTCGTAAAGGAGCTGGACGGCTGCCTGTCTGAGTGAGAGACCCAACCCCAACACCCCTCAGCCAGCTGCTAACACCACCACCACCACCCTTTAACCCAGAGGACCAGGAACCACACGTCTGTTCTGTGTGTGTGTGTGTGTGTGGTCTTCTCTTGAGGTGCAGTCAAACCTAATATGCAATTGGATCCATTCCTCCATCCTGTAGTGTAAAGCACTCTACAAGGTCACGCAGATCCAAAACAAACACAATCTGGCCGTTTAAAGAATCATTTAACCCTTTAAAACCATAACAATTATATAATCTTAAAGCATGGGAATCATATCGCAGTATAAAACACCATATCATGTACCGCTGTGACCTTGTAGAGGAACCTTCCCTAAAGAATGATCACAGACTTCCTGTTTGATTATTCCTCCTTTTCCTCTTTTTTTTTTAAATATCCGTTAGATTTTTATGAAGGAAACACACAAGGGAAAAAAAAAAATCTAAATTCTCAAAGAGTGCAATGCTTGTGTACTACAGTACAAACCGAAACGTTCTGGAAAAAGGGTCTCGATTTAATTCCATAGTGTACTTTAAAAAAACAAAAACGGCATTTTAGGACAACTTGGTAAACGCTGCTGAATCCACACATGCCGACTTCCTGTTCTAGAGTACGTGTTTGTTAAAGCTAGAATGTTTCTAAGCGTATAACTTATGACCAAAGTTGATCAACACTATTATGGCTATAAATTATTTATTTGAGATAAAGTGTACTGTACAGAGAAAGACAATAGATCTCGATATACCTCGTCAATCGTTTAGCAGCTGCTCTTTCCCCAGGGTCGAGGAGAAGCCGTAGGATAGAGACCGAGGCCTTTGACTCTAGAGGAAGGCTCTATAGTGATATCTGCCAACAACACCTCATCAAACATCGTTTAGCACAGAACGTGAACAAGCCATTTCAATTTCCCATCTCGTTTCAACAGTGTTTCAGAACGGCCTCAAAGAGAGGCGTCAGATTTCTGTTTTGTTTTTTTTACGGCACTTTTTGTTTGATGTCTTCGTGGTCAATTCAAAACAGAGAGTAATGTCTGCTACGTTTTATTGGGCAGTTTTCAAGCAATATTTAATTTATTTTGGCCGTTTTCTTTTTGTTATGAATAGACAATCACTGTCACAAAGGGCTTTTGTTTCCCTGGAATGTGTTTTCTTTTTATTATCTCATGAAATAATTAACCTAAAGACTAAACGAATGGCTCTGTGTGTGCCGGGCATTTTACTGTCAGTGTCAACGCGAATGCACTGGATGGCCTTTTACGGCGTCTCATGAAATGCCTTTTTGACCCATGCCTTCCTAACACATCGTTTCAGTTGGAGCCCTGAGGATCTCACACACACACACACCTTTTTACAGCGTTGTTGCACCCGTAGAAAAAACTCAAAAAGCCGGCGTATTAATTGAATATGTCCGTGACAGGGAGCTGCTTTCCCTCCCAGAGGCGAAACAGGGATCTTCGCTGAGGCCAATGCCTGTTTTTAGATTTCAGGAATAGCAGAAATCCAAATATGTGCTTTTTTCTTTTCGTCGTCTCCTCATCCCATTTCCCTCTGGTACTAAAGATGATTGTATCGGACCACTAGAGCTGTCAGTTTGTGACTTTATATATATGCTATTTGTTTTTTTAAACCATGTGCTGGTGGTTAGATGACACTGATTCAGATCTGCCGGTAATGAAGAGGCACAATCTGCAAACATGAGGCGACTGGATGAGAGACGAGGACCTAGGGGAAGACCCCGCGATTTATTCAAAACTGACTGAAGTCCATTTTTAGAGCAGAAACCGGCTTCGTTTACATGCACAGAATGATCTGTTTCATGCACTCATTACAGAACAAGACCGTAAAGGAAGCTAAGTTTGAATTATTATGAAAAGAACATGTTTCAAAAATGAAGAAGATAAAGAGAAAATACTTACTGTGAATATAAATATCCAAAAAACCAGTAAAAATATGACTTTATTCTCAAAATGCTAAATAAACCTTCCTCTCTTTTCCTTCTTCAAGCCCCGCCCCGAGGACGCCTTGTTAAAAAGGCTGCTGCTAATCTCCAGGTGCGTTTCTCCTTCAGACCCAGACATTTCTCTTGGGCTTGCATTTTACAATTAAACCGGCACAAAGTCGGTCACAAACGGACTGAAAGCGTCTAAACGGGTCCCAGAAACGCCCGAGTAATATCCGCCTTTCATTGGAAGATGCATCAAGGCTTGATTTTTAATATCCAAACATAATATATACTCGATGTAATCCTCATACGTGTGATATTTGTGTGCATGTAAACGTGTCGTGGATTTGCTGCTGAAATGATCCCGAGCCTTTTGGGTCTCTTGAACAAAATTAAATTCAGTTATATTAATATAGTTCTTATTAGAGATAGGTACATGTGTTTGTTTGTAATCTCAGGATCTGTGCTGAAGCAGCAGGCAGAATTTATTAACCAATCAGATCGCAGCATTATATCGATTTGTTTTTGTGATGGGATGTTCAATAATTTAATTTTCTTTGTTTGTTTTTGAAACCCAAATCCCACAGCACTTAATGATTAGATAGTGAAGCACGCACTTTAGTACATTCAGGTTCTAAGTGTGCAACATGGAGCATATGTCAGTGTGTACTTGTGTTTACATGCGTGTGTGTTGCTGCTGAATACAGGAAGGAAGGGTCGAGCATTGAAATCGTACTCAAACGATGCATTATTTAAAAAACGAAAGACAAAAAAAACCACTGCCCTCCTCTCGTTTCTTTGTGTTATATTTCAGGGCCCAAAATGAAAGTGACACGGTGACGTTACCCAGCCTAAAAAGTCACTCAGAGAAATCTCTGCAGCTACGCACCCTTTGGTTGTTCCACAGTATTCTTATACATGCTTTTTTTATTTGTGTGAGTGATTGTGCATGGAGCGAGATCATGATTTTGTAAAGATTAGGGCTGCAGGACGATTATCTTCATCATCGCTTGGTGTTTTTAAAACGTCAGAACATACGAAGGTGTCAGATCAAGTATGACATGCTTCTTGTGTCACAGCAGGACAAATATAAAAGACGAGGAAGCAGAGTTTTAACATACGGAAGGGAAACATGCTCATGACCCTCTTGGGTAGTGAAAATGTTGCTCAAAGATATTCACTCTCAAACAGAGACGGCAGCATGTAACCTGATATTTTCCTGTATGCAAAGTCACGATAAATCGATAATGTTCTGGTTGTTGCAGCTCTGGTAGCGGTTAAGCTAAACGGAGCGTCTACCTGGTGAAGCAATGACAGGTCCAACTGTAGCAATAGAGAGAGTTACCGTGTGCAGCAGACACATTGCACTGCCATCCGTTCAGGCCAAGTCAGAGCATAAATGCCAATGGAAGATTTCTAACAAAGGGGTTTAAGATGTTCTAATAATGATGTTTGGTCACAAATGAAGGCCTGTTTGCCAAAATGCATGGAGAGGTGGACGAGGGGAGGGCCTCTCTTTATTAAAGCAGCAAAGGATTTATGCATTAGCCGTTTACAGTCCAATCTGAGCCATGTGACTGACGTGAATGTAGGGTCAGTTCAGTTCTCCATTTGTACGCGTAGATATGACGCAGGTAGCAACAAACTCTCTACATATGTATACGTAGTAGTCTTCCTGCATTGATATCCTTGTTTTGTGTTGGAGAATAGGCTTGTGTAATATTCTATATATTGTGTAGCGTACAAGGTGAACAAGTTAATATTCATCCATTCCATTGAGATTGCCTTACAGTAAAGAGGGACAAACAGTAGATCACACACTCGTCGTTTAATAGCCTATATTTGACAAAAATGCACCTAAGCTACACCCATTTAGTGCCATAGAAACCTTTATTTGCCTTTAGACATAAATCATACTCACATGGTCAGTAAATATCCAGAAGTAGGCAGGATTATCTGTGTTTGGAGCCGCATGTTTTTTCCACCAGTTATTATTATTATGTTAGTCAAAACTATATCAATATTTGCATGGGATATTAAAATGCAAGTGTTCTGTTGAAATGGTAGAAGTCAGTTGTATACTTTGACTTTTTGTAATCCCTTTTGGTATTGGCAAAGCAATCCCTTGGTTGTGTGCGTGTGTGTGTGTGTGTGTGTGTGTGTGTGTGTGTTTAATGAGATATTGTGTGAGAAAAATATAGTTGATGTCCAAAAAAAAGCATGGTATAGAATTGATTTGCCTCAAACGGATGTCTCCGCACTGTGGGAGAGGGTTAGGGCCACATGAGAGAAACATTTTGGGATGGGACAAAAGTTTTTAAAAAAATGGAGTTCTGAAATTAAAGTCAAAATTCTGAATAAAGTCGAAATTCTGGAAAATAAGTCAAATTTCTGAGAAAAAAAAATTCTGGGAAAAAAATGAAATTCAGTGAAAAGAGTAAAAATAGAAATAGATGTTTAAAAATTCTGAAAAAAGTCAAGATTCTGAAAAGAAATTAGATTTAAAAAATTGTGGGAAAAGTGGAAATTCAGTGAAAAAATAAAAATTCTAAAATAATGTTAAAGTTATGGGAAGTAACAATTCTGAGGAGAAAGAGAGAAAAAAACCTTAAAAGTCACATTTCTGAGAAAATAAAATTTCTGGGAAAAGTTGAAAGTCTGTGGAAAGAGTAGAAATAGAAATAGATATTTAAAAATTCTGAAAAAAGTCAAGATTCTGAAAATAATTTAGATTTTTTTTAAATGGTGGGAAAAGTGGAAATTCAGTGAAAAAGTAAAAATTCAAAAATAATGTAAAAGTTATGCGAAGTAAACATTTTGGAGAGAGAGAGAGAGAGAGAGAGAAAAATTCCGAAAACAATTATTAAACTTTCTGCAAAAATTCCAATTCCGGTCAAAAAAGTTAAAATTCTGAAAAGTCAAAAACTGGGACAAGTAAAGATTCTGGGAAGTATTTTTTCACTTTTGCTCGCATATCAAAAACCTTTCCTCATGTGTCCAAAACCCTCTTCCTTACGGTTCTTACTTGAAGTAAAACGGCAAATCTCAATTCAGCTCTCTCTCACTGTTGAGCCTTTTGCCTTAAAAAGCTGAAAATAAAATGACCTGGCAGTAAACGTGCGTCAGCTGTAGAGTTCTGCTCCTCGTTGGATTGTTAAATAATACAAATTAATGTTGGACACCTTTGGGTGTGAGGAGGGTTCGACGGTTGCCGGTGGTGCAGAGATTGTTAAGGATTTCGCCATATTTGCCACTGTGAATGAATGCATTTCACTCGTACAACAATCAAAGTGGGCTCCTCCGTCACCCGGGGCCTGGGGGCCAAAGTGGGCTCCTCCGTCACCCGGGGCCTGGGGGTCAAAGTGGGCTCCTCCGTCACCCGGGGCCTGGGGGTCAAAGTGGTGTACCTCCGTCACCCGGGGCCTGGGGGTCAAAGTGGTGTACCTCCGTCACCCGGGGCTTGGGGGTCAAAGTGGTGTACCTCCGTCACCCGGGGCCTGGGGGTCAAAGTGGTGTACCTCCGTCACCCGGGGCCTGGGGGTCAAAGTGGTGTACCTCCGTCACCCGGGGCCTGGGGGTCAAAGTGGTGTACCTCCGCCACCCGGGGCCTGGGGGTCAAAGTGGTGTACCTCCGTCACCCGGGGCCTGGGGGTGAAAGTGGTGTACCTCCGTCACCCGGGGCCTGGGGGTCAAAGTGGTGTTCCTCCGTCGCCTGGGGGTCAAAGTGGTGTACCTCCGTCACCCGGGGCCTGGGGGTGAAAGTGGTCTACCTCCGTCGCCTGGGGGTGAAAGTGGTGTACCTCCGTCACCCGGGGCCTGGGGGTCAAAGTGGTGTACCTCAAATACAGAAAAAAAAAGTCTGGAATTGTTGCTTATTGTACAGCTATGCTAACAAAGAGTTAAATCTCGTGGTCCAGTGTAAATCCTGTAACCCAGCCGAAACCAGAGAGCTGTTAGATTAGATGCGTTTCCTACCTTTTGTTTCGTCGGCGCCTCTTCTTATCGGACCTGCAGTTTTTTACCTCATCGGTGATGTTGCTGATTTCTCTCGTGACTTTTCAATATATGTCGGAAATGTAAAAACATGCACAAGCAACGAACCCTTTCTTTTCTTTTGTAGAGCACGTGTCTCTTCATTGCAGCCCACAGAGGTCACACAGGGTGAAGGTAGCTATAAAACTTTACCTCTGGAAGTCAGAAAGACACTGAATTCGACCGTATGGCTAACGCTAGTTCGACCGCCTTCCCTTCCCGTTCGTCCCCCACCAGGAGTGTGAAACACGGAGCACAGCGTGGCATGGTGCCTTTTATTCGTTACTACCGAAAGGTACGGTCTTCCATTCGTATTTCCCAGAAGCCTTATAATGGGAACAGGAAATGACACTGACTACAGGCTCCACCCCCCCCTCTCTGATCTGAAGATAAAACTCAGAATGAACCGCACATAGCTGATGCGATTTCTATGCTTTTGATCATAGGGCACATCAACACATTTGAATGGATGGGGGGTATAATAAAAAAACAAAAAGCACAAATCCAAAGAAGGCACCAAATTTAGGGTTTGATTGTCATAAAAAACACTAACTGTAGAGCGACCGGCGTCAGAGCTCCTTCTGATTGTTCCTCTTCATCCCAGATCAAAGTAGGCAGAGTGTGACTGCAGACTCGATGTGTTTCCTGCTGGTAGTAGCTGCGGTGTCGATAACGGTGTGATCAAACTAATAATCCAAGTGACGTAACCTTCGTTGTCATTTAAAGGCATGGATCTCTCAAGCTGACTTTGTTTTGTGGAAAATAGACAAAAGATAAAAAGTGCAATAACCTTTTGTTTATCGTTGCTTCCTTTGAGAAATATTTAATATTCTGTTTAACACCAAAAGTCCCTGTCTGTAGCACATGAAGGATCTGGTGTGTGTGTGTGTGTGTGTTTGCTTTTCATCTGAAAACTGTGATTATAATATCGGACTTTTAAGAAGCTGCCTGCTCAGAGGAAGGACTGTGCACAAGTTGACTGATAGATTTGAGTAGGTGCGTTTGTTTTGGACGTTGATGGTATTGTAGTTCTGCTTATAGCCGGTTCATTTGCATGTGTAGACGTGAATATGCATCCTCCTCCTCCTCCTCCTCCTCGAATGAAAAATATTTAGACCTGCTGTCAGTGACGATACAAGGAAATATGAAATGCCTTATATTTGTTTTCAATGTCGAGCATTAAGGGTTCTTACCGTGTCCCTCCCTTTTCAGCGTGTACAGATGAGACGCTCTTGAGATTTATATCTACTGTATAGCCTGTGTGTGTGTTTTCTGATGTGTTTCCTGGAGCTCCTGTGATTGTGGTTTTAGAGAAAAAACATTCCCCTTTTTGAAAGTGCCGTTTGTTTTCACCAGCAGAGGAGGGGAACATGTATTTTCACGAAGGAAGACTGTCGAGCTGAATGACACAAGGTATTTGTGCAGGTGAAATAATAAGGCTTCTGAAGCAGCACCTTACAGACTTCTTCTCCTGGGGAAATAGTCCCACGTTACTCTAAAGCAGAGCCATATCAGACCATGTGTCCCTTAGGAGCCCCTTTGAATGTGCTATTAGGAATAGCCTACTGTAGGAAAGGATGTCATTCTGCATGTTCTGTGACTTATTTTGGTAGCGGGTCGTCCCTTTCCCTTCCGTGTGTTTTTATGTTTAGTCCGCTTCACTGTAGACGGCGCCACCTCATTGCAACTCACGAGCTATTAAACAATCCTCACAACTGGACTGAGGGCAGCCTTAAATCATCAACAAGATAATAAAGGGTTGCCTGTTTTTACTTTGAGTGGCTTATCTGGGGGATTTAAAAAGGGGGGAGGGGCTGAATCAGGGCATGTGATGAGTTACAATCAAACAGTGCAAAGAGAAAACATTTCAAAATAAGACTTGGCTCGTCCGACCTACATTCCAAAGTCCATTTTCATTTCTCCGCCGATCAAGGATTTTTTTAGCTTTTGCTGGTGAATGAAGTGCGACGTCGATGACAGGGTTCCCTACTTTTTAACGCTGATTACCTCATTTACAAATCTGCAAATATCCTGCTCTACTGTGTGTAATAAAGGAGTCGATGCCATCACCAGCACCTGTGATGACGACAGGACCAACGGAGTTAGAAACAACAGCGTAGAGTCGACCGGGCGGGAGACATGGGGTTCAGACGACATTTTTACAATTATTTTGTGAGGCCGCTAAGATGACTTCAATGTCCACCGCCGCTGCACCAGTCTGCACCCAGAGGCGTAGAGAGGGGGGGTGCTATTTGAGATTTTGTGGTCAAATATATGGCGGCGTATTAGGGTCTTTGCAGGTGAAATAATAATTATAGATTGGGAGATAGATTCTCAACAAGATTTACGAAAATCTCTGAGAATAAAATCTACTTTTTACGATTTAAGATAAAAGTAGTAAAAATGTACGATAACAAATCTGATAAATTACTAGAAAAAGGCAGATATTTTCTGACTCAGATTAAAGTTATTGGCACGAAAAACGTCTGTGATTAATATTGTTAATCCACAACAAAATGTACGATAATCTCTGAGATTAAAATCTACTTTTTGAGTTAAAAGTCTTAGATTTCAAAGAAAATATTCGTTTTTCTGTATTAAAAAATCAGATATTTTCTGATAGTCATAATATTTAGAGAAACAAAAACTCACAAATCTACAGAATATTAAATATACCCTTAGATAATCAAGTCATAAATAAAAACTCATGAAAGTCTGAAAAATACTTGTAAAAGGTGTTTTTCTCGTAAACCTGCGAGTTGTATTTTGATGACTTCAATCTTATCGCCACCCGTCTCCCCTCTCTCCCTAATTTCAAGTATTATCATTCTTACCTCTAAAGCCACTAATACGCCATTGTACAGATCCATATCCCGCGTTATTTAACTAAATGAAATCTCCTAACGGCAGACTGGACGGCGGCCGCTGGCGTTTCTCCACGTTAGCATCACTTGCTGTTTTTCAGTAGCATTTCTCCTACCTCCATGTTTTGTGCAGCCTTGAGTATCGTTTGTCTCTCCACCTAATAATACAAAATATTCACCGTACGGGATAACAGATTTATCATAAGCAATGGTCGTTAAAAACATAAAGTGTGCTTGGTTGTGCTGTATGTGTATATGTCTTATTTGACGTTGATTAAAAAAATATTTATGAGAAGCATTTATACGACAAAATACCACTGGAATGTGAAGCCAGACAATGTTATGATGATAGTCCCCTTTAACATTCAGAGGAGTTTATTTCACCATGCATTGGCTTTTATTTGTATTTCTTTGCTTTGCCCTGTGTAGTTTGCATTACTCCGACGTTTACAGCTTCTCCGTTGTTCCCCCGCAGCTGTAAAAGAAACGATAACAAAACTGGTGGATTTGTATTTCTGTACGATGCCTTTCAACACATCTGTCCACTCAAAACCAAATTTTACAGGCGTCCGTCTCACTGCCCCCTTCAGTGTAACAGGGAGGGGGAGGGGGGGCAGGAGGTGAAAGGTTTGAGGTTTACGACCCCCCCCATTTAACCCCTTAATCCAGAACACCCCCCACCCTCTTCCTGAAACCTCAAGCCGTTCATGATTTTTATTTAATTTTTGTTTTTTTGTTTCTTTTTTCTCGACAATGCAATCCTGAAAGCACTTTGCCTTGTTATTCCTTTGTGTGAACATGTGAATGATGATTTGTTACAAAATGTTAAATATGTAAAAGATCATTCACTGTTTTGGAAAAACCTGCATCTGTCTTTCTGACGTTAAAAGAAAAGGAAAAAAAAAACAATTTAGTGACATTAAAAACCTGAATCTATTTTATAAAATGTTTGCTGCAGCCAATTGGTCTTGTCATTCAGTATTGTGGCTTAGGGTTGTTTGTGTTGAATAAAGTGCTATTGCTAAATATTCTGTCTGCTCTCTCTTTGTTAATTATACATACACTGATTCTGTTGATCATTACAGACGCCCTGTTCTTCTTTTGGGGGTTTACTCTGTCCGGTGCACGTGTCCCAACAGTCAATGAAATACGTAAATATGTAATAACGTTGATTTCCAAAACAACCAAAACCTTTAGTCTCCAAGGCTCCTTTTAAACATTCCTCTAACAGTGTATGACATTAGTAGTGTAATACTGAACCCTGTGTATTTTACTGCACTGTACATGAAGAAGCTCAACTAAGGACAAAGATGAAAATAACATAAATACAATAGTCAAAATTCAGAAAACGTCGAAAATATGCAAAAAGTCAACATTCTGAGAAAAAAGTCAAAATTTGAGTGAAATTCTGAGAAAAATGTTAATTCTGAAAAAAATCTAAAATTCTTTAAAAGTCGAAATTCTGAGAAAATAATCTGAAAAGAGTCAAAAATCTGGAAGACATTCAAAAAAACTGATTCTGTTGATCATTACAGACGCCCTGTTCTTCTTTTGGGGGTTTACGCTGTCAGGCGTCCCAACAGTCAATTAAATTCAATCAGTAAATATTTACCAACATTCATTTCCAAAACAACCAAAACCTTTCGTCTCCAATGTACGTTTTAACATTTCTCTAACAGTGTATTATATAAGTCGTGTTTTTAATAATTATTCATAGTCTACTAGAGCTGAAAGTAATCCTCCTGAGACCTAGGAAAATAATAGACAGCAATCTGAGAAAAAAGTCAAACATCCGAAACGACATTTGAAAATCCAAATCTGAAAAAGTCCAGATCTGAGATAAAGTAAAAAGTCTGGGAAAAAAACTAAAAATTCTGAAAGACGGTACATTTTTTTCCAACACTCAAATTAAATAGAAAAGTAAATATTTACCAACATTCAAAACAACCAAAACCTTTCGTCTCAAATGTACGTTTTAACATTTCTCTAACAGTGTATTATATAAGTGGTGTTTTTGTTCTACTGAAAGCTGTACGGAATTCAGAAAAATTGTTAAAATTCAGAGGAAATGTCAAAATCATGAACACATTTAAAAGTTTTGAAAGAAAAAGTAAATTCTGGGAAAAGTCAGAATTCTGAAAAAAATATCTAAATTCTGAAAAAATTCGGAAGAAAAAGTCAAAATTCTGAAAAAGAAAATAATAATTATGGAAATTTTTGGGTTTCGGGAACGCACAGGTGTGAGAAGGCGGTGGTACAATGCACAGCTTACATTTGTATATAAATATATATTTAACATAAAGGAGCATTACATCCTGAGGTCACATACAGTGTGAGGAGGTAACCTCTATCATAATGTAGGAGGAAACATAAAGGAGCATTACATCCTGAGGTCACATACGGTGTGAGGAGGTAACCACTATCATAATGTAGGAGGAAACATAAAGGAGCGTTACATCCTGAGGTCACATACGGTGTGAGGAGGTAACCACTATCATAACGTAGGAGGAAACATAAAGGAGCGTTACATCCTGAGGTCACATACGGTGTGAGGAGGTAACCACTATCATAATGTAGGAGGAAACATAAAGGAGCGTTACATCCTGAGGTCACATACGGTGTGAGGAGGTAACCACTATCATAATGTAGGAGGAAACATAAAGGAGCATCACATCCTGAGGTCACATACGGTGTGAGGAGGTAACCACTATCATAATGTAGGAGGAAACATAAAGGAGCATCACATCCTGAGGTCACATACAGTGTGAGGAGGTAACCACTATCATAATGTAGGAGGAAACATAAAGGAGCGTTACATCCTGAGGTCACATACGGTGTGAGGAGGTAACCACTATCATAATGTAGGAGGAAACATAAAGGAGCGTTACATCCTGAGGTCACATACGGTGTGAGGAGGTAACCACTATCATAATGTAGGGAGGAAACATAAAGGAGCGTTACATCCTGAGGTCACATACGGTGTGAGGAGGTAACCTCTATCATAATGTAGGAGGAAACATAAAGGAGCATCACATCCTGAGGTCACATACGGTGTGAGGAGGTAACCACTATCATAATGTAGGACGAAACATAAAGGAGCATCACATCCTGAGGTCACATACGGTGTGAGGAGGTAACCACTATCATAATGTAGGAGGAAACATAAAGGAGCATCACATCCTGAGGTCACATACAGTGTGAGGAGGTAACCACTATCATAATGTAGGAGGAACATAAAGGAGCGTTACATCCTGAGGTCACATACGGTGTGAGGAGGTAACCTCTATCATAATGTAGGAGGAAACATAAAGGAGCGTTACATCCTGAAGGTCACATACGGTGTGAGGAGGTAACCACTATCATAATAGTAGGAGGAAACATAAAGGAGCGTTACACCCTGAGGTCACATACAGTGTGAGGAGGTAACCTCTATCATAATGTAGGAGGAAACATAAAGGAGCGTTACATCCTGAGGTCACATACGGTGTGAGGAGGTAACCACTATCATAATGTAGGACGAAACATAAAGGAGCGTTACATCCTGAGGTCACATACGGTGTGAGGAGGTAACCACTATCATAATGTAGGAGGAAACATAAAGGAGCATCACATCCTGAGGTCACATACGGTGTGAGGAGGTAACCACTATCATAATGTAGGACGAAACATAAAGGAGCGTTACATCCTGAGGTCACATACGGTGTGAGGAGGTAACCACTATCATAATGTAGGAGGAAACATAAAGGAGCGTTACATCCTGAGGTCACATACGGTGTGAGGAGGTAACCACTATCATAATGTAGGAGGAAACATAAAGGAGCGTTACATCCTGAGGTCACATACGGTGTGAGGAGGTAACCACTATCATAATGTAGGAGGAAACATAAAGGAGCGTTACATCCTGAGGTCACATACGGTGTGAGGAGGTAACCTCTATCATAACGTAGGAGGAAACATAAAGGAGCATTACATCCTGAGGTCACATACGGTGTGAGGAGGTAACCACTATCATAACGTAGGAGGAAACATAAAGGAGCATTACATCCTGAGGTCACATACGGTGTGAGGAGGTAACCACTATCATAACGTAGGAGGAAACATAAAGGAGCATCACATCCTGAGGTCACATACGGTGTGAGGAGGTAACCACTATCATAACGTAGGAGGAAACATAAAGGAGCATCACATCCTGAGGTCACATACAGTGTGAGGAGGTAACCACTATCATAATGTAGGAGGAAACATAAAGGAGCGTTACATCCTGAGGTCACATACTAGTGTGGGAGGAGGTAAACCACTATCATAATGTAGGAGGAAACATAAA